CTTACATATCTAAGAGTTTTGATTTCTGTTGTTCAGCTTCCTTGAGTTCTTGGTCATCCCTTTCCTTTTGTTGCTTTAGCATCCTGTTGAAGTCTATTTTCTCATTGATTCTTGCTCTGAAGACTTTAATTGGATTAGATCTGACAAGCTCTTCATGTTTTCCTTTGATATTCAGACTTGTGTAGTTGTTATAGGCTTCACGAATGTTGCTTCCTTCAACAATTCCAGACTTCCACCACGAAATTAGCTCAAACGAATTCATGCCTTCTTGATAACTTTTTCCTGATTCCTTGTGCACTTTGAAAGCTGCATTATGAATGATATTCTGTGGGGAGTCTCTGGTTATACTTGAAAGATCTTTAATGAGATTCCTGATTCTTTCTCTTTCCATTGCTTCATCTTCTATTCTTTTTCTTTCTTCATCGTGTTTCTTCCACAGCTCTCTGTTTTCTCTTTTGATTCTTTCGTTTTGGGTGCTGATGTGATCTTGTCTTGTATGATTGTCTCTAGTTTTAAGCCAGGTAGGGACATTGCAACCCTTAAAACGTTTGCCACTTCCTTCTTCATATGGAACAAAGTCCACAAAGTTCCCTATGCCATCCATAGTTACTTTGTTGTCTCTCATAAGTCTCTGCCTTAGTTTCGTTTGCTCTCTCTTGGGTAAACCCGTGAAGATATACTTGGCTTCAGAACCGAAGGATTGGCGAGGCTTAATTGGTTTGGATTGGTATCGACCATGGTATCTTTGCTTCGAGGAATGGTAGCCACGAGACCTGGAAGGTGGATGAGATGGGTTCGTGTTCCTTCGGCCAGAGTCTCTAGGTGTCCGAGAGGGAGAGTGTCTTCCTTCTGGAGTTTGATCTTTCGTGTTATCTCTCGGCTGATCATCATCCTTATCCTTGTCGTCATTTCTCTTTTCCCCCTTTTTGGCATCATCAGCACAGGTGGTAGGAGGAATAGAGGAAACCTTGTTGATTGCAAGCAAGATATCCTGAGCATACCCGAGAATTTGAAGTGCATATTCTCCCAGTTGGTACGAATTGTCTTGATATGTGTCAATCTTTGTACAGGCCAGATCAACACGCTCTTTGAGACCAAAATGAGAATGTTTGATTTCGTGCTGTTCCCGCGCAACTTTGTTCAGGGCAGCTTCAAGATCATGAAGCTTCTTTGCCATTCTCTCAAGGATCTTGTGATCTGATTGGCTATGTTGCTGCGGTTGAGGCTGTGCTGGAGGTGGAGGCCGAGGTTGAGATTGTGCTGCTATCAAAAAATCGACCTTCTTGCACAAATCATCCAAAACTTTCGTGTCCTTTTCTCGTAGAGCAAGATATTGCATGTGGATGGTTTCGGCTGAATGGACAGTTTCTCTCATGAGGTTCATGATAGTCCGTGGGGACTCTGCAGTAGATTCTTCCTCAATATTTGTTGGCGTCGTGTCCATGTGATCATCTTGAGGTGGTGCTTCCCGTTTTCCACCACTGGCTGAGCTAAGAAGAATTGGTGAGGCTTCCTGTTTGCCCTCACGCACATTTTCTTTCTCTTGCTTGATTGGAGTCTCGTCCATGGGTTGGATATGTGGAACAATGGCACGAGACAGATCTTTGGGATGATTAGCTGAATCTTCTTCCGAGTCACTACTGTCAGAGGGTAGTTTTCTTAAGGGAGATCTTTGAGGATAGGTGTCATAGTCTGGGCCGATCAAAATTGTATGACTGTCTTCGGGGTCGGCTTCTTGAGCACCTTCATTACCCAACTGATCATCATCGTCATCATCATTGTTATCATCATCGTTATCATCATTCTCGTCATCAGCATCATCATCATTATCATCTACATCTTCATCTTCATCACTTTTGTCTTCTTCAATCTCTCGTCCAAGCTCATCCTTCGTGCCACTAACATTGCAGTTTGGATCATTTTGGTGTTCCTTCTCCAATGCGGTCTTGATCTTGGATAGCAACATAGCATATCGAAGTTGCTTCATTTCTTCTTCATAGACTGGATCCAAGGGTGGCTTATTAAGTTCGATGCAGATTGGGGCTTTATCTCTCCCGAGAGTGCGATTTGTCATCTTGTATGAGAAGACACGATTGATTTCTTCAATTCGAAGGGCTTTGGAGATCTTCTGTACCAATCCATTTTAGTGCAAATTCTTCTTCGTCTTGCATGACTTCAAAAGTTTCAAGAAACGTCCTTAGGGGAGCAGTGCGCCACTTTTGCCACTGCAGGACTCGTTTGTAATCCCTTTCAATGGATTCTCTGAGCAATTGATCTGGTGAAGGTTGAGGAACTTTTACTCCAGGAGCTGGAGCTGAAGGTTTTGGGATATCCGGAGATGTTACCTGCACAACGGCTGTCTCGTCTACCAACACAGGTTCTTGTGTCAAAATTACCTACTCTGTATTGGTAGGTTCTTGTGGCAGACAAGGCAAATCGATCAAAGCATCAGTCCCCTCTATCGTCTTTTCTGGTGACCCAGGTTCTTGTGGAAGACTTAAGCGACTGGCCTCCATGTCTACATCAGCAGGTTCTTGTGACAACTCACGAAGAAGTTGATCTGCCAAAGTAGGTTCTTGTGGATGGTGGTCTTGAGGAGAACCAAGATCAGATTTGGGTTCTTGAACATCAGAAATTCTCTCAGGAAGGGCAACTTTCGGTTGAGCTTCCCCCTCAGAAAGTGCTTCTTTCGTGACTACTTCCCCCTGTGGAGATGCTTCTCTCGTGTCTGTTGCTTTCGGTGTAGAAGGTTCCTTCGGGAAAGGTTTAGGCTTGACAGGAGACCGAAAGTGACTCTTTTGGATGATTCGAGAGAGTACCAGATTGTCTTCTTCGGATGAATCCTTTACAATGATTGTTTCTGGTGATGGAGTGGGATCTTTCTTCTCTTGAGGAGATTTTGGAGGAATTGGAACAACTGGAGTTTCTTCTGCCTTTTTCGCCTTACTCCGAGAGGAGTGTTTTTCTCGCTTTTGTCGTTTTGGCTTGGGTTGATCATCCTCTAAAACCTTAGGGGTTCTCGACTTCCTCTTGACTTTGATCTGCTCAATAGGGACCCCCAACTCCAATGCCTTCTGCTTGTCATACCCTGATGGTTTCTGTTTCATGTGACATGCTTTCTGTCCAGGCCGAATTCCTGGGCGCAGAATGACTCCTTTCGTTGCCAGAAGATGGCTTATCACAAAACCATATCCTAACTTCTTTGCAATGTCTCCTGGACTCTTTCGATGAAAGGTGATGGTGTGAACAATATTGTTGAAGATGATCTTTGACCAGTCGACTTTAAATTCATTTAAGAAGGCATGCAGCATTTTCAACTTCTCCTTCGTCACATCATCAGTGCCCGAGGTCTTGTGATCAACAAGTTTATTGAAAATATCAACAGTAAACTCATAATCTAGCCGGAACCACTTCTTCTTCAACGGCCATGTGATTTCTTCCTTGAATGGTGCGTGATTGTTCTTGATGGATTCATAGAACTCCTCTGGGTCGAGATGATAATAGATAATATCAGACTTGTAGGACTCATCTCTCTGTGGAAACCCGTATGTTGATCGAACGTCCTCCGAGGTAAGGACCACATGATGATTATTGACTCTGGAAGTAATAGTCAGATAATCAGAGGATATTGAAGCATTCATATAAAACTGAGTTACGTCAACCAGGTGCCAAATAGTATAAAGATGTGTGATGAAGCCATATAATCCTGTTTCTGTGAGGAGATGTATGATATTTTCACCAAATCTTCTGTCCAAGATATACTCAAGGAATCCATGCGCGTCCCACATACTACCCCCGACGATGAAGGGTACTCTGGATTCAATGAACCTCAGGTCTTCAGTTGGAAAGCTTGGGACTTCCAGGTTGGAAGGTGTTTCTGGTTCTTTATTAGTTGGTGATGCTTGTGGATGTTCCGCCATTGTTGAGGATTTGAGAGAGACAGAGGATTATGAGGGATGAGAGAGAGAATTGTGTGAAGAAGGTAAGGTAAAATGAGCAAGAAGGTTTAAGTAGGGTTTTATAGAACTCCGGGTATCCGGGTATGGGTAACCCATTTAGAGTTGAAATGTTTGAATTTCAAAAGCACTCCCGGTTCTTCTTCTCCAAAATGGTAACTGATCAACGTGGGGGAGTGATAAGATCATGTGCAGATCAAAAACGATCATTCCCTCATTTAATGAGGTGAGAGAAAAGTACTCGAGTGCTTATGGGTGGATTAAATGCACGTCACATCCTGTATCAGACAGAGTGGGGGAGTGGACCATTTTTCTCGGCCACATGATCCCATTAAGATTCATCTAAACGGTTGGAATTAAAAACTGAAATCATCAAGCATTTTTAGGCATGATTCCAAACCCGAAAGAGATAAGATTTTCATAACATAAGACTTGTGAGACAAATAAAGTCAAACAGGTCCTTTTTACAACAACAGAGATGCTTTTCCCGAGAGAGTTATTACACAGTACAGTACGTAACACAAACGATTACGATCTCTCGTGCATTAGTAGGCAGGCTTGCCTTTTACTCATTGCTACCCTTCTTCTTTCGTGCGTACTCAAAGTATTCCCTCTTTCGGATTTCATGAGCAAACACTTCAGCGATGAGTGTCTCATGATCTACTCCCAAGGTTTCTCTAGAGAGACCTCGTCTCTCCATGTCATTCAGTTCAGCCATTACTTTGGCCTTAGCAAAAGCGTACAATGCACGATATCTTTCTTCGTGCTTTAGAAGAGGAGTGAGTTCAACAAGAGAGTAGAACTCTGAGATTTCAGGTTCCTTCCCAGATGGTGAACCTTTCTCAACTGAGTTCCCGAGATCACGGTGAGACATTTTTCCAGACTCAGATAAGCTCTCGGATGTGAGGGCCTTTTCCTTCCTTTTATCCATGAGTTTGAAGAAAGTGATAAGTGAGTCCATAGTTGAGTGAGAAGGATCCATTAAATAGAGAGATCGAGCCTCTCAAAAGATGTGTCCGAGTGACTTGACCAAGGCACGCCTTAGGGAATATATTCTTTTCCAAGAATTTTGTCCTTGATTCGAGATTTTAGACAGATGAGAAATAAGATAAGTAATATCTCGTTCAAAAGAAAACTAGAGCCAACAGAGCTTTATTATTCATAGAACCGAGAGAAGAAAGTACATAAGATAAGATACAACAGACAAAGGATCAATTTTTCTTCCTCTCGTTTTTCTTGACTCCAGACGGCTCATCTTTTGCCTTCTTTAGATTTCCCAGCATCTGCTTAAACCATTTTCCGGTTCGTGGGTAGTTTGAACCAGATGAGGATTCAGGTTCTTCCTCCTTATCATATTTCTCCATTAAGTCCTCTTGTTTCAGAAAAGCCATATAGTCTCGATCTGGGACCTTGGTAGGATCTTTCGAAAGCTTCTCTTCACTTTCAACAATAAAACCCGCCATATCATCATACAGAAGAGATGAGTCGGAATCAGAAAGAATTTCCACTGGTGCTTGTGGACTGTTACCAGGGTAAAGGTCACCCTGTTCCTCCCTGAGACGTCTAGCACCTTCTCTCAGTTTGTGAGAGTCACCTCTAGTAAAAGGTTTCTTTGGAGCCATGGTGAAGAAAAGAGATGATGGAGATAATGTGAAGAATTCTTCTCTTTTTATAGCAAGAGATCCATACTGTTCATGTGTCTGTTACACATATTTTTCAACGTAGCAATAAATGCTCATAAATATGTTCAAGGAGTAATTAATTCCAGGCAAGACTTTGACTGTTAACTTGTTTCTTTATAAAACTCCAACTTCAATGAGCTTAAAAGTCATGTAACTCATAATAATTTATGGCCCCTTTTTTACCGGATTAAAAATTGAGTGATGAGATTTCCTGTGACTTTTGACAAGAAACAGACAAAGTTAAACACAGTCATGAATTGCATTCATTCTTAGTACGTAAAGATAACATTTTTATTGGATCATAAGGATGAGAGACAGAGAGTTCCAAGTCACGAGAGTACAGTACATAACAATTTAGAGAAAACGGTAAGGCACGTGAAGTTCCAGACGAGTCATCTCTTCGTTCACATCCGTCAGATTTGCCTTCTTTGCATATTCATCCAGCTCCTCAAGTGAGAGAGTGGGTTCGGGTGACTGAGTTGAGGACCGAGAGTGAACCATAGTGAAATCTTCATAAGATTGATCACTAGGTTGAGAAACTTCATAAGAAGGTTGCCAGTGAGAGCTTTTCATCATCAAAATTCTCTCTTTAGCAAGCCGTGTGGCTTGTCCCATGCAGTATGCCTTCTTAGCCCTGGACTCATTGACCAATTTGTCAAGAGTTTCCTTCTCCTTTGGTGTTGTGTTAGGCATGGAGTAAGTTACGATGACCCTTTCCCCATCTTCTTCCAGCCTAATGATGGTGGCATTCGGTAGCTTGCTAGCTTCTTGCATATGATGTTTTAGACGTTTAGCCCTTTTCTCAACTTCATCGATCTTTCCTTTCCCTTTGTCCATTCCTGCAATCTTTTTCCTTTTCTAAGGACTTGTGAATGAGTAAAGCTCATGAAATAGGAGAGTAATTTATAGACAAAAGATATCGTGCGAATCTTAACAAAATCTTTTAGATACTGACATCATTTTGAAAAGATAACGAAAGATAAAGTCATAAATTAAAAGATCATGAACATGATAACGTCACAACTTGTCACCGTGGCCTAACAAAGTTATTCAGGCTTTCTTTTTCTTGCTGCTTGCGGTGGACTTGAGAGGGGATGCTATCTTAGTAGGAGTGCTTGAGGGTGAGTAGTCAAAGCTATCACTTAGTTCCAGCACACTGTCTTCCTTGACATACCCTATAGGGTTGCCAACTGAGTGGAAAGATTCTCTTGACTCATTATCGGTTGTGTCACGGAGAAGGCTTTGTATGAGTTGAGCGCGTTCAAGAAACTGATTAAACTCTTGCTCAGTCACTAGTGGCTCACTGAGAATTTCACTCTTTCCCTCTTGTGCCTCCGTAATGGTTCTTTCGCTTCCCGTACTCATACCTGCACATGCAAAAACACACACTAGAGTTTTTGTTAGATATGAAATTTTATCCTCGTAGTGTACCTCATTTATAAAGATCCTTGCGTGTGAGGATGGATCAAATCTTTTGATTTTCGAGAGCAAGAATCTTTGCAGATTTGATTCTCTTGGCTTTATGTCATTTCAATTATTCCGAGTTCATGCCTTAGAGAGGAGAATCTTGCTTCACTCAAGGGTTTCGTGAGTATATCTGCAAGTTGATCATCAGTATTAACATACTCAAGAGATATGTCTTTCTTCTCGACATGATCACGAATGAAGTGATACTTAATGTCAATATGCTTAGTCCGAGAGTGTAGCACAGGATTATGCGTAATGGAGATTGCACTCGTGTTATCGCATTTTATGCTCACTTCTCGTGCATTTATGCCATAATCTCTCAATTGATGTCTTATCCATAAGATTTGAGCACAGCAGCTTCCAGCTGCTATGTATTCGGCTTCAGCCGTACTTGTAGCAATAGAGTTTTGCTTCTTGCTAAACCAAGACACAATTCGTCCTCCTAGGAACTGGCAGGTTCCTGAGGTACTTTTTCGATCAATTCGACACCCTGCGAAATCAGCATCTGAGTATCCAACTAGATCAAATGATCCTTCTTTCGGATACCAGAAACCGACACTTTGCGTTCCCTTAAGATATCTTAATATCTTTTTAGTTGCACTTAGGTGACTTTCTTTCGGCTTAGCTTGAAATCGTGCACATACACCAACAGCAAACGAAATATCAGGTCTGCTTGCTGTTAGTTATAAAAGAGAACCAATAATGCCTCGAAAGTTTGTTTGATCAACATCTTTTCCTTTATTATCAACATCCATTATGAGGGATGTGCTCATTGGAATTTTGACCGAACTTTTTCCATCAATGCCAAATTTTCGGATTAAGTCCTTGGTATATTTGGCTTGATTTATGAATATTCCATCTGGGCATTGTTTGACTTGTAAACCCAGAAAATAGTTTAGTTCACCCATCATACTCATCTCAAATTTGCCTTTCATAAGATTGGAGAACTTTTCACACAAGATTGGATTCGTGCTTCCGAATATAATGTCATCAACGTAGATTTGAACTAAAAGAATATGGTCATTATCTTTTATACGAAAGAGTGTTTTATCAACCACTCCTTTCGTGAAGCCACAGTTGATAAGAAAGTATGAAAGAGTATCATACCAGGCTCGTGGAGCTTGTTTTAAGCCATAGAGAGCCTTTTTGAGATGATAGACCTTTTCAAGCTCATTATTGATTGCAAAGCCAGGTGGTTGTTCAACATATACTTCTTCTTCAAGAAGTCCATTTAAGAAAGCACTCTTGACATCCATTTGATAGACTTTGAAGTTCTTATAGGCTGCAAAAGCTAGAAGTATGCGAATAGCTTCCAATCTAGCTACAGGGGCAAAGGTTTCATCAAAATCAATGCCTTCGTCTTGGCAATATCCCTTAGCAACAAGACGAGCTTTGTTCCTAACAATGAGCCCATCTTCACTCATTTTGTTTCTAAAGACCCATTTAGTTCCAATGACATTCTGATGAGATGGTCTCGGAACAAGTTCCCATACCTCATTTCGTTCAAATTGATGAAGCTCTTCTTGCATGGCTATTACCCAGTCAGGGTCTTTTAGGGCTTCTTCTATGGTTTTTGGTTCCATTTGAGACAAGAAGCATGCCATCATACTTTCGTGTAGAGAGGCTCTTGTTCTTACACCTTCTTGGACATTTCCAATAACCTGATCTGGTGGATGATCTCTTAACCATCGAAGGTCTGGTTCAAAAGCATCTTGTTGATTTTGAGCATCCATTTCAGGAATATATGGTAGATCAATGTATATCATTGGTTCAGATGTTGTGGTGCTTGTAGGATCATTCTGTTGAATTCCCACCTTTTCTTGAGACACGGGTTCGGGTTCTGAAACCTTCAGCTGATATTTCGTGTAGGACGAAAGTATGTCTTCTTCGTCTGAGATATCTTCGTCAACAGGTTGCTGAGGGTTTTGACTTGACTTGATTGATGTTTTACATACAGATGGATTCTTCTCAGATTGTTCATCAAACTTGACATGAATGGATTCCTCAATCACCATTGTTCGTTTGTTTAGAACTCTGAATGCTTTGCTTACTGATGAGTATCCCATGAATAGCCCTTCATCAGCTCTTTTGTCAAAAGCTCTTAGATGATTCTTTCCGTTGTTATGTATGAAGCACCTGCAACCAATGACATGAAAATAACCGATACTAGGAGTTTTACCTTTCCATAGCTCATACGGTGTCTTGTTGTGAGATTTGTTGATCAACAATCTATTTTGTGTATAGCATGCCGTGTTTATGGCTTCGGCCCAAAATCTCTTAGGTAGTTCTGAGTGCGAGATCATCGTTCGTGCAACTTCTTTCAAGGTTCTGTTTCTCCTTTCGGCCACTCCGTTTTACTGAGGAGTTCGTGCTGCCGAGAGTTGATGAAAAATTCCATTTTGCGCACAGAATTCCTTTATGACTTTGTTGACAAATTCCGTTCCCTGATCTAATCTTATTCGAATTATTTTGAGCTCCTTTTCTGTTTGAAGTTGTCTCAAAAGATTTGGGAGAGCTGTTTCTGTTTCATTCTTCTTTTTCAAGAAAAGCACCCATGTATATCTTGTGTAGTCATCTACTATAACAAGAGTATACTTTCTTCCACTCAAACTTACTGGATCTACTGGTCCGAAGAGATCCATATGTAGAAGGCTTAGAGATCGAGAGTTTGCATCTACATCTTTTGACTTGAAAGATGACTTGAATTGCTTCCCTTTTTGACATGCCTCACATATTTTATCTTTCGTGTAAGATACTTGTTGGTCCCAAAAGAGGTAAGGTGAAAGTCTAGAGGGGGGGGGGGGGGTGAATAGACTTTCAAACTTTTTCGCACAGCACAACAATTGCTAAGCCTGAGATAAACCAAAACTCTTAACTAGATTGTTAGAGTATGGTGCACAGTGGAA